GAGGAGGCTAAGTATTTAACAAGTATTCATAACAGTTTTAAACACTGGAGGTGATTTGCTCCACTTCTAACATACTTATTTCGTAGATGTAAGGAGCGCTTCAGAGATAGATCAATGCAGTTATAAAAACATATTTTGTATGTGCCATTAAATAAGTGTCAATATGTCATTTTAATTATGACAACAGTGTTTGTTGAAACAATCTAAGTCTTAAGGAATGCACTTTACACTTGCATTTTTAATAAAATCTGCCTTTTAATTGTTCTCATAAATTTAATCACATGGTTCCACTGAGATACTTTTTAATAGTGTATGTTCTGGCATATGAAAGGGACTCTTATTTTTTTTTCTCATGAAGTCTTTTTCTTCATTGTTTTTTATTGTCTTTTCTCTAGAGGTTAGAATATTTAGTCAAAAGGTCTTGAGATTCTCCTCTCATTTGTAGAAGTCCGTGGGTGCTGTGGTCTGTCTCCATATTGGAAGCTACTTTTGGGAAGGTACAAGCCAGCAGCAGCTTTCCCTCTCAGTATAAGTCCTTATATAAATAAACTCTGTGCTTGCTTATCATCAGTTGCCTGATGTGGTTGAAAGATCAGGTCCAACTTTCTTTGCTGAATGCTGGCAGTGTGGACAAATAATCTTTGTATGTAGTTCCATGATGTAAGCGAATTGAAAAGATGGTAGATCTTTTAGGCTGTTTGGAAGCTGTATTCTGCAGTTCCAAAGCAATGGGAGAATGAAATGTTCATCAGTTTCTTTTGCACCAAAAGGCTTATAAATCAAGTCATAAACACCAATATCTGCAAAGTTGGGACCACCAGGACTCGTCTGTGCAGTTGCAACACCAGTCAGGCCATGGCTTTAAACTCTGCACAAGTGTCTTAGTCTGTGTAAGGCCATGGTGTTTTAGACTGTTCTGAAGAGGCGTTAATGACTATTTACTTTTTATACATGGAAAGGTTCCTGTAATGTCAGAGCCTGCTCTTTAAAAGCAAATGTTCTAGGGAGTGGGAGCTTCCATGGTTCCTACCTGTGTTAGTTGGGAAAATAGTGGGTAAAGTAGATTTTTAAAATCTTTGAATAGTAATAATAGAATATAACCTTGTTTTTTCCTATGCAGGAAATCAGTTCTCTGAAGCAGTTTTACTTGGATTTTAATAATACATTGCATATGCTTACATTGTTGTTCAGTACTCTAGACATTCTGTGTTGGCCTCTTCAGTAATAATGATAAATACTTGTTTTTGTAAATGCCCATGTTCTGGCCATGAGATTCCTGTAGCAGTAACTTGATTTGCCTAATGATGACTATTTCTGTAATCTTTGTGCTTAGAGATTCCAGTGGAAGTAGAAGCAAGGCTGTCAGGAAAATGCAGTTGACTGACTAAAATACAGTTTTGGTTATAGGCAAGTCACCTTATTTCCCAGGGAGTCATGTCCTGGTGAGTGCTTCCACCTAGCAGTTTTTAGCTCTCCTTTGGATCTGCAGAAGGACACTGGTTAAGAGAGAAGTTACCTTTGGGTGGGAAAGACCTGTGAAGCTGAGCAGTTGGGTGGTAATCCTGGACTGCTTGTAGGTTCTTCATGCCATTTTATGCATATTTTGTTCATCTGTGTTCTAAACAATGTTAGATGCATGAAAATATGAATTCATGGAGAACTTGGCCATGAGAAATGCAAAAAAAGTAAAAATCCCAATTTTGAGGTGGTCCCTTGACATAGATTTTCCTGAAGTTATCTTTATGAATGTCTGATTTTTACAAATAGTAAGATTTGAACTGCCTCAGATTACCAACTGTCATCTGACTGTAGTAGGTATTTTGTGGCATTTCTTTGGCCATCCCATATGATGTTTTCTGCTGTTTAGGAAACAATTTTGAGTTATATTTATGTTTCAGGAGTGGGCTATCTTGCTTTTTGCAAGCTTTAGCTTGAGCATGGACATGTTGAGAAAAATACACATGTGGAAAAAAGTTAGCATATAGAAAAGTCTTATTTAATAGCAAAAGCAGTAACGGCTCACTTATAGAATGGCATTTCAGAGAGGTTATATCAATTCGACTTCAGGCTTCACAAATACCATACTTTTGGAACTGCAGGAGATATAAATGTTGGTTATATTCTTCTAGGGAGTCTGCTGGTCAATACTGATACAAAACCTTTTCCATTTCTTTCTTGAAAACTCACACCCTTGTTGGTATGTTTGTGTGCCACCATTGAAAGAGCTTGCTATGCCCTGAATTAGCATCTGTAGAACACTCCAGTGCATTTGTTGTAGAGATCTTGATTTTACAAGCCTTGCCACTTCAGAAAGCAAGCAGCCACAATTACATTTCTGAAGGTGAAATTCTAAGTTGTGTTCTACCAGGTGCTTTTTCAGGCAGGCAGTTGTATCCCTGCTGCAGTCCTCATGCATACTGCAGTTAGCTTCAGCTCAAGGAACTTGTCTTGCAATGGAGAGGTGATTACTGTAGGAGAACAGGTGGTTTCAAAGTCCTGTGTAAAGCTAAGTGTTTGAATTTTTTGTAATATCTAGGGTCAGGGAAAAAAAAGTGGAAAAACCTGACCTGTTTCTACAGGTAAGGAGCAATAACCTTGGGCAAGGTCAAGATGAGGGGAGTGGAGTGGTGTCTTTGGATAAAATAATCAACCCTGGCTCTCTTCTGCTGCATGTTCTATAAATCAGTGATGAAAAGAAAAATGTCTTTTAGGCAGAAGTACTTTTAAAAATTTGTTGGTTTTTTTTTTTTTCTAATTATCAGCAACCATGTCTCCAGCTACAGACTGTGAAAGCCAAAGTTTAGGTTATATGTTATTCAGTCTTACACTGTTGCCTTTGGAACCTGTAATCTTTTTTCTCCCAATTTTAAGAAATCTGGTTATCTTCCCTTAAATGTAACTGCTAACACTATTCTTGTGGACCACTTACGTGTTCTCTGCTATGTTTTATGTAAAGCTTTTATGTAAAGCATGTTGTGTTGTGCAAGCAAAGGTGAGAATGCCATACTTACTGAAGGATCTGGAAGTGTGCACAGTGCCCAAGACTTTTGACACCTCTGAACAAGGAACTTCCTCTGTTACAGAAACACAGCCAGACTGTAGTTTATTAGAGAGAGTTGTTGCTGTGTGGCTATAGTATTTCAGTCTCATTTTTGACCAGGAGGTTGCTTGTCAGCCTCTGTTTTGTTTCGTAGTCATGTTTTCTTTGGTCCAAGTTCATGCTAGTATTATACAGATTGACAGAAATGTCTCTGACAGTGAAATACTGTCCTCTCTCTCTCTCCAGTGTCTTAAACTTGGATTTGAGATTCCAAGCTGCCAAGCTGAAGCATGATAGGGACATGAGTGTATGGGGAATGCAGGTGCTGAAGGTCTTATGAATTGAGTTCAGTGAATGTCATTTTTCACAAACTGTGCTGTAACTGCAGACACTTTATTTAATCTGTGCAGCAGTTCCTCATCTCTTAAGAGGTGAATAATGCTTCTATTAGTTTTGAATCAAGCCAGTTAATGATTTTGTCCTTTATTACTTTGTCACAGATCAGGTGATGGGTTCGGGATTTTGTTCACCAGAGGTCACCAAAACCCCCATGTGATGTGGACTTTTGCCCATGATCATCTACTCCCTCAAACACGTATCATACTTTATTTCTCATTTTTAAAGTTGTGGATTGCTGACTAAAATCTAAACTCTATGTCCTCTGGTTTAGAGCAAGCAGGTAGAGAATGTAAAATATTGGTGGGAACCAACACCCAATCTTCATTTATGTTCCTGAAATGAGGGATTTTAAATTTAAACTGATATTAGTGGTAAAGTGAAGACTTAGAAGTGTGTGGGAGACTGGATCTAGACAGAGCCTGAATTGAACCCTGTATTTGAGGACTGAGCTGGTAAGCAAAGGATGCAGGGTAGTGTGGAGAGGAGTCCTTGCATTGAAAACAGCTAATCAGGACACAGAGGAGCCCTCACATGTAGGTAAAAACAAGTAGGAAACATCTGTACATAGATAGTGAGGCCAGCATTATGAGGGTGAAGCTCTTAGACCTCTAAAGGGAAATTGCCACATTTGGGTGCATCTCTAGCATGCCAGTACACTAATGCATGCAGCATGGTGAAAAATAGGAAAGTAGGGAGCTGTATGAAGTTGCAGAGCTACAATTTAATTAGAATAACAAAGATGTGATAGGATAGCTAGTACAATGCTGCCATGGATGAATCCAGGCCCTTTAGAGGGCCTGGGGGGTGTGAACTTGCTCTCAAGTGAGAGAGCAGTGGAGGTCTGCAATGAAAATAAACTTATAAAGTAGCAACAACCAGCAGCTTGCTGAGTGACTGGGAATGAGGTGGTTGCTGGTGCTGCTTAAGTGCCAAATTCGGTTAAAGGATTGGATGTTGAAGTGAAGTGAAGCTATGCTCAATCCTGTGTTCATTCCCCACCTGTGCCTGTAGTTCAGTGAGGGGCAAACACTAGTCAAACACTGAAATTTCACAGTGTGGATATTGTTGATTATGACGTAAGGGTTTGTGATGTCAGCTGTTAAATCCTGTCAGTGCTGAAGAGACCACTAAACCCAAAATTGTTATCAGTGATGTACTCTTAAGCCATAATGTCTTGTGAAATGCTATGCCCACGTGTGGCCTTCCAGTATGTGGAGCAGGGTACGTATGTTACTGCCTTTATGACCTGGGAATGCCTTTTCCCTTTGATGAAGTAATTGTAGCAAGTTTCAGGAGACTTTTTTTGTTGTTTGGTTTTTTTGTTGTTTTATTTGGGTTATTTTGTTTGATTTTTAATTTAAATAAAACTGCTATGGTATTCCACCTCCCTTCCCCCCTATAGTTTTAAAGGAACCACAAAATATTATGCCTATCATACAAGCTGTTTTAAAAAAAAAGTGGATTTTTTAAAAGATACTTCATCGCTTTTGTAAAACGCATACTGACTTGTTATTAACTTATTTTTCTACAGGGTGTGATAGGTGTGCAGTTGGTGGTTACCATGGTAATGGCTAGTGTCATACAGAAGATCATACCTCACTATTCTCTTGCTCGTTGGCTTCTCTGTAGTGGCAGGTAAGATAAGAAACAGTTGCTATACAGTGTATGAATATGGTAATGCAATTATGCATCAGAGTGGGAATGGTAAAGCATACTAATTTAGTTTGTTTTCTTGAAAAGTAATCGACCTGCTGTTCTTATATTTATTACCACAGCATTGTGACACCTGATTTGCAGGCTCAAGGTAAAACAACAGTGTGGCTGTAAAAGAACAGACTTATTTGTTGCTATTAATTGTATCAGTCATAAAGTTAATTGTTATTCAACCCGCATATTACAGGTACAAGATACATTCTTTAATACTAAAAAACTAAACTGAATACAAGACACTGAAGAACGGAAGGGTTATTTTTATCGCTGCACTGCCTCAGTGTTGTTGGTAATCTACCTGCTGATTAGCCCTGCCTATTGAGAGTGCTTAAGTATTTATTAAAAATTGCATTTTTAAAAAATACTTTATAGAACAGGATTAGCATAAATTTCAATACACTACTTCCTCATAACATTAGATCAAACAGGCATAATAAGTTGGAAGGGGAGCATTCTCTGTGTGACTGTATCCATAATAGCAACAAAAAACAGCAGATGTTTTGAATATAAATCAGTATCTTAAAAAGAATCATACACACCGTTTTTTTTTGTTTGGTAAGAAAAACACTTAGTATGATTAGAAGGTAGTGTGCTGTCTTTTGTAATTGTTAAAATTTTGAGAATACCAAATCCTTACTCCCTGATTTCTGAATGAGTATTTTTGAATAATATTGTGCTCCATAGGAGTATTAGCCAGCCATGCATAATTTTCCATTGCCTTCTTTCCTCTGTATCTTGTATTTCCTAACTTTTTGATTTTCCCCATTTCATCACCTAATGAGTTGCTAATGAGAAGTGACTGTAAATGTTGTTTAGATGCATATTAGATATCACTGGTTAGGTATAACAGAAAACAGTGATTGTCAGGTAAATAATGCAAACATACTTTTAACTGTTGTGTAAAGTTTCATTGTTGACCATATCTTCAGCACTTGTGCTTATGTAATTCTGCTCCTACTGAAATCAGTGGGAGTCTTATTATTGCCTCTTATGTTAGTAACCTAGAAAATCTCATTGTTGCTTTTCAGTGTTCTTTTATTTATCTGGTAACTATTTTAGTGCATTGTAATTTCTTTCACTATAAATAATCGCCTGAATACAGGAATTATATAACAAGTCAGAAATAATTCTGCGTTCCAGAAATAAAAAAAAGTCAAAACTTCACTGCAACAAGAATCTGAATTTTAATGGCAGAAAGAAAAACAGTTATTTTCTTAGTTTAACTGACAAACTATTTTTAACTTGTTTTCCTTGTTGCTGTCCTTTTGCCACCACTGTATTCTTTGTATGGGTGGGGTGGTAGAGGGTTTTACACAGACAAGTGTACAAGTACAAACAGGTTCCTAAGCAGTCCAGCCGTCCTAGGAAAAGTTACCACCTGTTCTTCCTTTCATTTGTCAATAGGCTTCAACTAGTGTTTGGTTCCCAACACTGGTTTTTAAGTGATTTGGTTTAAATGCTTTACTTCCAAAGAGCTGGCAGTATTTTCTAAGTCAGGTAGTCTGAAATGGCTATAGACAGCCCTTGCCAAATGGGATGGAGGATAAACATGTTACCAGCCATATAATCAGTTGGTTTCAGGATGCCTCTGTGTGTATGTGCAGAGTCTCTTAAAAGGAAACACAGGCACTTCGAGAGAATTGTTAGATACACAGACATAAGATAATTATTCACAGAATGAACAGCTGCCATTGACTGATGAAAAGCTATTTACTTAAATTTGTAATGAAGTGCAAACAGTTTCAATCAATACTATATTCAGAGCTTGAACAGAATTTAAATATTAATATTTATTGACATGAATGTTTGAATGAATTGGCAGCCTAAGTATCTGCATTTTTGACTAATAAAGCATTCTCCACCAAAATGTTGCTTTCAAGTTGCTCAGCTACTTCAGTTGTTCTGTTTCCAGGCCACTTCAGGAAGACAGGACAAAATGGATATTTTGTTGTGCTTTTGTTAGTGACCTTCATTCAAATTAACTGGGGCATATCTGTGCTGCTGTTGCTGTTCAGATTAACTTGGATGTGTCAAAGCCACGGGTAATCAGTTGTGGGATTTCTGTTTTAAACATATGTAAGCTAACCCAGATACAGACTTTTTTTTTTAGCTCTTTATGAACATGTTTGTCCAGATTGCTCGGCTTTGAGTTTTTAAATGTAAGGTGTGCAGGGTTTATTAACTGCAAAATCCCAAAACTCTGGTATACTACTAGTTGTAATTAGGAATCACTTGCAACATCATTCTGTAGTATAATTAAGAGGAAACTGTGGTTTAAGTGTTTGATTTGTGTTAACATGCTACACAAAACAAGAATTTTGTCTGTTCTGCTGCATTACATACTATTTCTCTATCTGTGCAGGAAAGATTCTGGAAAATTACAACATAGGTGACTTTCGTGATTACAGAGCTACTTGTGGTAATTTCAGCATGGCAAATTCAGATTTGGGAGATGGTGAATGACAAAGCAGAAGAATATTCTCTGCTATCTTTGACTTTCTTTGGGCCATGTGAAAGATAGGAAAAGTTAGTATCTCCAATGCAGTTTGTCTTCTTGGATGAAAAGGTTGTTTCTCTGGTTTCTGTGTGTCTCAGTCTTAACAAAGTCTCTTTTGCTGCAAAGTTTGCAAACAGCAAATTTTTCAGCTGGGACCACACAATAAAAATAAACTAATGAAATAGCTTTCACTCCTACTCACACTGCAGGAAAAAAACCCCAAACAAAATTCAGCCTTTCCTCTCTCTCCCCAGACTCCTTATTCATTCAAAGTCTGTTAGTATTTGCCATTTCCAGTTTTGGAACTTGCAGTGAATTCTTTCAAGGGGAGATTTGCAGTGTGCCATGGTTGGGATCTTTGTGATGTTTTATGGTCTGGTTCTTTTCTCTTGAAGAGATCTCAAGCTGCTGCTTTAGCACAGCAGTACATGATGATACAGACTCATAGAACCCCCTATTAACCAAATTGTATTTTGTGTCATATTGCTGGCATGAGCTCTTACTTAGCCATTACACCAGTTTTTAAGTTATTTTAAGATGATGTCCATGAGCTGTGTGCAACTGTCTGTTTAATGATTTATTGTATCAGCAATTAAACTGCTGAAATTGGAAGCTCTTCCTGAAACGTGTTGTATTTTTGTCATATTGTATTTTTGTTGCACTATTTTTCTTCATTCCCACTTCCTGTCTTCAGACAAGTTTAGTGTAGTGTCAAGAACATTATCAGGATACATGGTTGATCATATGCTTAGTGATACACACATTTCATTAAAATTGAACCTATTGTTTCTCATAGGCTTTATCCAGTGTCTGTTGTACCACGTGTGCACACATGAAGGAAGTGTCTGTGCCATTGTAAGGAAGATAGAAGATGTATAGTATTGCTGCTTGCATTTAGGAGTTCTTCTATTTGTAGCAAAAGACCTGCCTCAATGTTTGTTGTGTAGACAATATTCCATGAAGAATGGCAATTTTTTTTTATTTACATGAAAGGCCATATTTTGCAATATAAAGATGAGTGGACCAGACTTCCACTTAGGACAGGAAGCCTTTCCAAAACAGAGCTGGGAATCGGTTGTTATTGAGTGCCTTGAGGTTGTTTGGGCTTGATGCTGATTTTCCAAATTTACATTACTACCTTTTCAAAGTTGAATGTGACATGCTCTCTAATTCGCCAACATAGATTTGAATGGTCCTACTTGGTGAGGTTTTCTTAATGGGAATCCACAACCATATTCTCACATTATCATCTTTATTACCCTGTGTTAACCTGTATCACCATGGCCCATGTCCCAATTAGTGGCCTCCTACTTCTACATATATTTCCCAAGTCTGTTCCTATTAATACGTGGTTTCCTTTGCCTCAGCATTTCAGAGTGGAGATCAGAGTGACATCCTTCCATGTGAAAAATGCCTTGTTCAGCTACTAAGGTTTTTCACATGATTAGCGATTTAGGTAAAATGTACCATCTTAGACATTTAGCCATCTCTGTTTTTTCTCTTCAGAATTTCCTTGCCACTCCTTGCCTTTTGAATGAATGAGCAATGGATGATGCATTGATTTGTGAAAGTGGAAAAACTTGCAAGTCCATTACATGTAATTAGTGATTTTTTGTAATAGCAGTTTTTCTATTAGGAGTTGAAGATATCATTGAGGAGGTGTTTAGGAAAGGAATGTTGATGCTATGATCGGCTCTGCCTAAGAGAAAAGACTGATAATGATCATATAGCTATTTCAGATTCTGAAAAATTGCTCCTTTTTTTGAGAGGCATAATTATCCTTGATAAAATTGTTCGTAATATTGTTCTAATGGATAATTGTAATGGTATGATTATTCTAGTGAACTTTTACTCCTCGTCCAACTGTGTTTGCATTACTTGACAGTATTTTGAAAATTTTGTGTTTTGAGAACCGAAGAACTTTCATGTTAATGACGGAAGTGACAAAGCTTGCTAATTATGCATAAACATCTCATATGCTGAAGAGAACTGAAGTTTAGTTGTGATTCAGTTCAGATAGGGTTGGTACTGCACACAGAGGTGTTTTGCTTAGGAGTGGCAGATGACTGGTGTCTTAATATACATACAGATCTGTGTTGAGATAGAGTTTTTTTAAAAAATCCCCACTCTAAATTGTTAATACTAGTGTTTTACTTGGAACTTCCTTTTTCTTTAGTTTGCGGTGGTATCAACATCCCACTGAAGAAGAACTACGGATTCTTGCAGGGAAGCAAAGAGGGAAGAGCAAAAAAGATAGGTAAATACTTTTAAGCTTTTTTTCCCTGCTCTTTTGTATTTTTCAGCATGGCAAGGTTAATGTAATAACTTTGCCAGCCAACTTTTGTCTATGTATGAGTTAAAAACTGCTGGTTGCGTATGGATGCCCTGCTTGCATTGTCGCAGCCCTTTACCAAATTGTGTTCTTTCAGTTTAACATAGTTGAACATTCCCAGATTGTACACAACTGGGTAATTTCCAGTTGACGAAATAGGTCTGTGATGCTGCTAAATTTGGTAGCAAGGCTTTTATTTTAGTGAATAGATTAATTTGGGTAGAAACTGAGGAAGGCAAATCTTAGGATTGAAGCTCTTCGTCTTGAAGCAAGAGAAGAAAGATTTGAGTGTATTAGTTCAGCACAGGATTACTATGAGCTGCCACTCTTACACAGCTGTGAAAAAGATAAATGTGCTCCTGGGATGTATTATGTGAGGTGTTCCTAATAAAGAGAGAGCAAAATATTAATCCTCTTGGACAAGGCACTGATGTGGAACTTTATCTGGATTACTTTGTACAGTTCTGATGCCTCATGTTTCAAGAAAAATGAATTTTATATGTGAACAGGTGAACAGAGCTGCTAGGATCATCCAAGAAAGAGAAAGTATGTCGTACAAGAGGGGGCTAACAGAGCTGGGCTCGTTTAACCTATTAAGAAGACAGCTGAGGGGTGGGAGAGCTGACTATAGGCTTAATCTGGCAACACATTCCTAGTGTTCGGACATTAAGTTCTGAACAGTCTTACCAGAGGTACAGCTGCAGCCAGAAACAGGACGTCTTGACGTGGTGGAGCTGAACATGTTGATGCAATATTTCTGAATTGGATATTTTAAAAACAAACCAACACCCTCTGGCTTTCTTTTTGGCAACACAGGAGGTTTCCATTAACCCTGTTTCTTTTTACTCCCAGTATGAACTCTTACAAATCATTACAGTTAATCCGCACACTGCTTATATAATCTGCTAATTGTAATGTGATTTCCCCCCCCCGTTTCCTAGCTCTTAAGCTGCATATTTGCCATGCTTTGAGGTGAAGAATTCACAGCATCACAGAAGCACTTATATTGGAAAAGACCTCTGAGATCACCTAGTCCAACCTATGACTGATCACCACCTTGTCATCTAGGCCTTGGCACTAAATGCCTTGTCCTGTCATTTCTTGAACACCTCCAGGGATGGTGCCACCACCACCTCCATGGGCAGTCCATTCTTAGGATTAGTAACCCTTTCTGTGAAGAAATTCCTCCTAATGTCTAACCTGAACCTCCCCTGGCACATTTCCTCTCCTGCTGTCACTAATTGCCTGGCAGAAGAGGCCTATCTCCACCTTGCTACAGCCTCCTTCTAGGTAGTTGTAGAGAGTGAGAAGGTCACCCCTCAGCCTACTTTTCTCCAGGCTAAACACCCCCAGCTCCCTCAGCCATTCTTCATATGACTTACCCACTAGACCCTTCCTCGACTCTGTTGTCCTTTTCTGGACTTGTTCCAGCACCTCAGTATTCTTCTTGAAGTGAATGGCCCAGAACTGGACATAGTTCTTGAGGTGTGGCCTCACCTGTGCTGAGTAGAGGGGGACGGTCACTGCCCTAGTCCTGCTGGCCACACTATTTCTGATACGTGCCAGGATGCCATTGACCTTCTTGATCGGCAGTGTGCTCAGGTGGCCATGGTCAGCTGCTGTCAGCCTGCAACCCCAGGTACTTTTCCACAGTGCAGCTTTCCAGCCACTCTTTACCCGACCTCTAGTGCTGCATGGGGTTGCTGTGGTCCAAGGGCAGGACCCGGCACTTGGTCTTGTTGAAATTTGTATCGTTGTTCTCGGCCCATTTTTCCAGCCTGTCCATATTCCTCTGCAGAGCCTTCCTAACCTCCAGCAGATCAACACTCCCATCCACCTTGGTGTTGTCTGCAAATTTGCTGAGGGTGCACTCAACCCCTTTGTCTATGTCACTGATCCCAACAATACTGCACCCGGAGGAACACTACTAGTGACGAGCTGCCTGCTGGATGTGGCATCATTCACCACTACTGGGTTAAGTTGTTCCTTGTAACATTGAAGTTATATAATAGGATTTTTTTTTTTTTGCAATAGTCTTTCAAATTCAGAAACTTATTTTATCTAGCAGTTTACTGTGACAAATTGGGGCAAAATAATAGTGAGTAGCATTACAGTTTATAGCTATCCATTTAAGCAGTGATATTTATTCAACCATAGGATCCTTAAACAGAACCACAGTCACATTGCCAAAGAATTACTGTACTTTGCTTTTACTGCCTTTCCTCAGCCTTGCCAGTCGTTTGCCATAGCTGCAGTAGATGCTTGTACTAGGGTGAATGTTTATCACAAGAGAATATAAAACTTAAATGAAGGCGATAATGTGAAGGCTTAAATGATCTCTGCTTTGTTCTTTTAACAGCTGAATGAATAATACACTTAGGTTTTAGCCAACAAATGTACCTTCTTGTCCTCTAGAGAAGCAACTGTTGTTGTGGGAGAGCCATAGATAGAAATTGTTCCTGTTGTGTCGATTTGGATGTAGAGATTGCACAAAATGGAATGCAATGCTACTTTTGAGTCATCTCAGCAAGGAGATGTGAAACAGATGGTGTGGGAGAAATAAGGATGGATCTATTTGATACTCCCCATGTCTTTTCTCGAGATAAAGAGTCTGCTTTGTCAGGCCCATAGTCTTGCAAAATGTAGTGCCTGCTCCTTATTTCAATACTTTCCCAGTTTGAACTAATTAAAAGAGAAATGATGAAAGGAGATTCAAGGAACTTGCTTGAAAATTAGCCTTAGAAATAGCTGTAGTGTGAACTTTCAGTCCATGAGTCAGTGACATGCCCTTGTGGCTAAGGCGGCCAATGGAATCCTGGCCTTCTGGGGTGCATTAAGAAGACTATTGCCAGCAGGTCGAGGGACGTGATTCCGCCCCTCTGCTCAGCCCTCATGAGGCCACCCCTGGAGTGCTGTGTCCAGTTTTGGACTCCTCAGTACATGGAGCTCCTGGAGCCAGTCCAGCGGAGGGCAGTGAAGGTTATTATGATATGGGAGCACCTCACAAGACAAGGCCAAGGGATTTGGGCCTGTTCAGTCTCAGGAAGAGAAGCAGGTCGAGGGACGTGATTCCGCCCCTCTGCTCAGCCCTCATGAGGCCACCCCTGGAGTGCTGTGTCCAGTTTTGGACTCCTCAGTACATGGAGCTCCTGGAGCCAGTCCAGCGGAGGGCAGTGAAGGTTATTATGATATGGGAGCACCTCACAAGACAAGGCCAAGGGATTTGGGCCTGTTCAGTCTCAGGAAGAGAAGAGACAGAGGGACCTCATTAATGGATTCAGGTATGCAAACAGGAGGTGCATGAGGGGAGACCTCATTACATGAACAGAAACTGCCAAGATGATGGAGCCAGACTCTTGTCTGCTGTGGGAACCAATTAAACAAGAGGTAGCGGTCAAAAACTGATGCACAGGAAGTTCAGCCTGTGCAAGTCACTGAGCACTGGAACAGATTGCCCAGAGAGGTCATGGATTCTTGCTCATTGAAGGTATTAAAGAACCATCTGGATGCAGTTCTGAGTCAAGTGCCCTGCTTGAGTAGGGAGGCTGGACCAAATGACCCATTGTGTTTCCTTCCAATCTAAATAATATAGTGATTCTGTGATTTTATTAAGTGCATTTTGGACTTTGGTGTATTATGCTGAAGGTTATAATAGCACATGAATAATAGGGGTGTTTTCTACTTCAGAGTCATTTGTGTTATATTAAAATGTTAGGTTAATGTAACAGTCCATAGCTACTGTGAATTACTTTGAATTAAAGCTGTCAGTGATCCTGGGTTTGTTCTGTCTGTGTCTCTTGGATTGTGGGTGCCCAGGGATAATTAAAGTGTGGGAACACCAACTTTGTTGAGCTGAAATGGCTTCAGTCATCAAAATGCTTATCTCAGTGAAGATGGTGGTACTCCTGGGTACATGCAGTGGGAAGATATCGGGAGTAGAACTTGGGGCAGGGAAGTACAGGAGCTTGCAGGTAGTCAAGTTGTTGGGATTGTTTCGGACTTCTTGTGTAGACTTGCACAACTGAGTGTTTTTGAGTAAAGCTTGTGATTCCTGTCCTCAATTTCCAGTTTGTCCATTAAGATTCTTGTGCTTTGGATGATACTTAAAATAAATATAACCTGAAAAAAAATTAATGCTTCTTGTATTCTCATCTCACATATGAGCTATCATTCCTGAAAAGTAAGCTCATCATTGATTGAATTTCTTTTTAATGCTTATATCCTAACAACTTGTCTTTCTATGGAAAATCCACCTCTCCTTTTCTAATTTCAGAGGTGGTATTCTAAAATGTGGCAGAGTTTACTTTCCTGCTAGATAGATTTTTTTAAATGTAACAAACCATTTCTGATCTGTTTTAATGACTCTTTTTTTTTTTTAAATAGTGTTAAGTTTTACCTTAGTAGTGGTAATCACTTCAACCAATTTAATGTAACATTGTTCATGTTCTTTTGAGAGCACCCTCTTTTTTTAGTTTGAAGTCTACTAGTGTGGTTCATTTTCAGGAAAGTGAAGATCATGAGGTTTTTAGTTACAGAGCTCCAGATAAAAAGCCCTGTTTGTTGTAAAAACACACCTTTTTAGATTAGAAAACTGTCTTAAAATTGTCTATTCTTGATGGCGAGTAGGATGGATCTCAATGATATAGGCTAGCCCAGCCTGTGTGATGTACTTGCTAAGCACCCTGTTGTGGTAAAAAGAAGTAACTTTTTTTGTTAATTTGGTTTTTTGACTGTGGGAACACCCTGTAGCTCTCGCAATGAAGAAAATCAGCAGATTGAAGTAAATACTGGCCACTGGATCGTGACCGAGTACATGCTCAGGATGCAGCATATAGAAGCCATTTAAATGCATACTACACTAAAACCTCAAAGTCTGGCAAGATAAAGCTAGGAACCATTGACATACCTGGTTGGTTATCAAGATTTGAACTTGAAATACTGCTTTTAGCTAGTTAGATAAAAATATTTGCATTTGGGGAAAAAAAGCTGTCAGCAATTTTCTGAAATTTTAAATGCCATTATATATTGAAATAGTTCATTTTGTCATATCCATGTTTGTGTTATCTATTTATTTTTTCATTTTTGCAGAAAATACAATGGTCACATTGAAAACAAACCATTAACCATTCCAAAAGACATTGATCTTCATCTGGAAACAAAATCTGTGACAGAAAGGGACACTATTGGTAAGAATAACTGTGTGCAAACAATAATACATTATTTCAATCCTGTTTCTTACTATTAAGTGTTTATTTGCGATTCATGCCAGAATATCTTTTTTATAGACAGTGAATGAATAGAAGTAAAACTGGTTATAAATGAGAAAGCAAGAATTAGGGCTGAGCCTATTTTCATTTTCCATGGGTGACATTTTAATAGCAGCATTGTGGAAAAGTATGAGTAGATGAAATCCAGCATGAAGCACAGCTATTGTATCGGACTTCCACAGCAATATGAGACAACAGCAAAAGAGTCACATCACTGTCTATTTGACATAGAGTTGAGAGATGTCAAAACATATGCTTTCTGCTCAGCCAAAATAGGAGATGTGCCGTAGAGCTGAAACCTTTCAGCCACGTATCTGAAACATTCAGGTAAAATGCTTAGAAATAGAAAGTGGCAGCGCAGAAATAAATGGCATTAAATGTTTTGGAAGTAGCTATTTTTTTAAATAGTATTTTTTGATTCCTGAATCATAATCAGTCATTCTGTTACAGAAAGTTCATATATGGGTATGTATGTATGTGTGGTACATATTTTCTTTCTATCTACATTTTTATGTGTCCTCTGGATCAATATAGAAAGAAAGGAAGCATAATTGTATGCAGGAGACTTCTCACTTTACATTACAGGAGGCAGTGTAGAAAATCTCTTGGACAGAAAAACTGTCACAAAAATAAACAAAGCATTTGCAAGTTTCAGTTAGTGTTACTTCCTTGAAATTACAGCATTGAATTGTCTCCCTGAGTGATAGAGCATAGGGTTTGACTGTCTTTGAAAAGCTGGGTATATAAGTTTTTTGGTGATTCTAACAAAAATAAGTCCAGGACTTGGAAATACCCAAGTTTGGCCAATTTCGTATGTTTGTCAGCAGGTAGCTTATAGCCAGCAGTCAGACAATCAGTAATATTTAGTGACTTTCAAACTTTGTAGTTGTAGGGAAGGTGTTTTGGAAGGACAGGCTGCATTTCATTGTCACAAATTCTTTGCCGTTTCCAGCGCCTGTGGGAGCTCCCTCTTCATATCAGCCCATTTGTATGCAGCATACTGTGATCCCCAGAATTTTTACAGTGGAATGTACCCAATGATTATAGCTGTACAGGATGTATTAACAAAATCTGAAAAAATAAACCACTGGTACCTTAGATATTAGGGTTTTTTAATAAAAAGAGGAAGCAATAAAGTGTAGTATATTAAATGATTGCCAGTGAGATTTTAGTCTTTAACAGAGAGTCAAAAGAACCTTTTACCTGGAGTTGCGTCGGGACCCAGCTGGAGAACTCTTTTCTCTTGACGTGAAATCTAAATTAAGTATGCTTCTTTGTATTTAGGGCGTTAATGTATAGGGCTGAGATGATGGAATAGTAAGGCCATGTAGCCTTATAAATTCGAGCAGTAATCAACTATTGATGGCAGAAGTGAAGAGCAAAGTTTACATTGTTGTGCAAAAGTATGTGGCTTTTTTTCTGTTGTCATGCTTTGCTTGAATGATCTGGGTCTACCTTGACTTGACTTTATTGAAAACATTTTTGAATTGCAACTCCATTCTGTGTATGTCAGTGACTGCCTTAAAATATCATACCTTTAACATGTGCAAACTTTTATTTTTCAGCATTGCATTATTTTCCAGAATATCAGTGGTTGGTGGATTTCACTTTTGCAGCTACAGTTGTATATGTGGTGACAGAAGCCTATTACAGCATTGTGAAGCCCTCCCAAGAAATGAATATCAGTGTAGTATGGTGTCTGCTTGTCTTAGCTTTTGCAGTGTATCCTTTTCTTTTTTCTTGAATCAATATACCTGTTCCATAGTTTGCATCATTCTTCAATTTGTATAAATATCTGTGTTGTTGGGCAGGATGCACAAATACTTAGCATTTGGAAAAGGACCATGTAAGCTAGTCCAGTGGTTGGATAATGTATATGCCATGCATGCTCTTTGTAAATGCTGATTTTAGTAGCTTGTTAACATTAATGCCAAACCATTTATTGGAAAAATACATGTATGTGAGTATACAGTTAGTATATATGTAGTATGTAGTGGTTCTAAACTAATGTATTTTTGCCCAGTTTGACAGTCAGAAATAGATTTCTGTACAGAGACTATTTACAGCTTTTGGAGAAGTTTGAAAATGTATTGCACACTTTTTGTTTTCTGAATATTTAATCGGACGCTTTCTGAACAAAATAGTACAGTGATATGTATACTAATTTATTGCAAAGATACATGCAGGAATTCATACTTTTAGAATACATTCAGGGCACTCTTATGAAGCTTACAGAAAATAAGGTGTGTAGACAGTTGTAGGAGCTGAGGCAGTTCGTTTTAAGAGCTCTGTGGAAAGCTAAACTCCCTCTGAAACTGAGGGAAACAGAAGTGGAGTATGTAGGAAAGAGGCAATATCGAACCAAAAAAGGAAGCGCCTGTTAATGTTTATTTTCATTGGAGAAAGCAATCTCAGACATGGATGCCTGAATGTTAATTAAGAGTTTTCATCATACCAATACAGATATATGCTTCAATGAGGAAAGCTGCATTTTAAAGATGTAATAGGTAATAAAGCAGTGGAATTACTAAGAGCCTGCAAGAGTGCAGATGAAGGAAAGGTGAGCTGGAAAGTGAAATGCTGTAGCTCTTCTGCTCCTTCAGCAGCTGGGAACCAGATAAAGTGTTAAGTTAGGGTCGATACACCACTTGAATATTCAAAATGGTTTCCTCTGTATAAATGCCAGTTCATCATTATAGATTCTTACTGTGTGGTTTGTTTGTTAATTTTGTGGAGTAGCTGGTGGTGTTAAGTAAACCCCTCAACCTCTGGTTACATTTAGCTAACAGTTCTGAATATTCTTAATGCTTGTCTGTCCTTGATAATTATTAAAATTATCATTTATCATAAAATTAATGTTATGCCATTATAATAAGGACAGGATTTTTTTTTTCTAAGTAGCCTGAAGTATAAATGATAGAATTTTTCCAGAATTTTCCTTGTAATGTGTAAGAACTTGCTAGAAGTGCGAGTCAACTCACATTTGGGAAAGAAGACTGCCAGTGGGTTGATTGCAGACCACGTATTTCTCCTTTGACTTGCCAGTGAACAGATCCATGCTCCAATAGATGTTTTTCTAGTCTACTAAATAGTGACAATAAAGTCACAGACTCTTTTGCACCTTATAATCTTAGAGCTATAATACAGCTAATACATAGTTCTTAGTGCACATCCTTAATTTTGTTTTTTGTTGTGAAGTCAGGAATTTTAGTTTCGTCTTTGTAGAGGGAAGGAGAAAGATAACTACTGCTTCGAAAACCAAAAATGATTGCCAACACCTTTCAGTCCCGTTTTGAGGATGAGGGGGAGGTTAATAGAACTAGTGGAAAAACAGGCTTTTAATACTAAAGCCACAATGTGCTCTTAGATTCATTGGTGACAACACATTATTTACTTCATCTTTCAAATCTCATGTGTAGCCAATTTAAATAACTACAGTAATTTGTAGGTGAACAGAGTTGTGAATTATATATTGTAGCAAAATCCACTGCAATAGCAATTTCTTACCATGGTATTTAAATGCAGTCCTATTGCTGTTTTCATTTGGTCATTAATTCAAGGCAAAACCTTAAAAAAGATTTAAGTTGCCTGTCAGTGCAAATTTTCTATCTCAGTAGTGTGAACATGCAAGTAGTCACTAGGGTCGGTGTGTAGTACATATGTAGTTCTTGGGCTGATGGGATGAAGTAGTGTGATCCTGTGCAGCCTAAGGAGTTAGTGGCAGTGCAGACGGCTGCAGTACCAGGAGGCACAGTCTAAACTTTACACTACTGTTAACATCTCTGTAAATGTGTTAACATAACTTATTCCAGGCATTACAGCTTTTTGGGTGAAGGAGAGTGATGCAAAGAGTGATATACCAAGGTATTTGTAACAATCCTCGTGGTCCCTGAAACTTAGTCAGATGAGATTTTCCAACCATGTGGACTATGTAATTGAAAAATTCCATAACTATAGCAGTTTAAAGAAAATTGTATAGAAGGGTGTGCCAAAAATTGTACAGACATAGCACCTTTTGTGGCCAAAAAAGTATAAAAAATGAAAGGTTGTGGCTGGAGAATCTATTAACTTACACTGAATGCTTCCAAATAATTCCTTCAGTGGGTCCAGCATAGCAGGTCAGGCAGTGAAAGAAAGTGATGAAGCAAGCCATAACACTTCAGTTTTTACCAATAGGTAAAATAGGTAGCAGTGGTGATTATTCAGCTAACAGAGGATTTCAGTCATGTATAATTTATGTAATCATTAATCTGTTTATTGGGTTCTGAATCTGCACTATAATTGGAATTTACTGTTAGTATTTTTTTTTTCCTGATAGCATTTTCCACATCCTTCTGGCACAAACCAGAGTTCAAAACATGAAGTATCTAGGGAGTTACAAATCAGATTATAGGTTAGGACTGTTATTAAGTTACAAAGTACTTTGTATCACTTCAAGGTGTTTTCAGTTTGTGATTGATGTCTCTTGCTGTAAAAAGACATTTGGTTAAAGAATGTATTATTAGAGAAACAAAGCTTTCCAGAACACAGTCTGTGTGACCTATTGTGCATTGTTTTCTGGTATGAGCTTGAGTCTTCCTTTAGATATATCAGTTCTTTCTGTGAAGTCTGAAGTGATCTTAAGTTGATTACTGTGAGGTTAGAGTTATTGACGCTGTGCTTAGACCACCTTACTGTGAGCTTATGAGAACCTTTCTGCATATACATGAAATACAACAATGTTTATGTTAAATACATGCTGCCCAATGAAGTGTAATATTGCATAATCATAGTTTCTTGAGAGATTAACTGTTGACTGTTCAAATGGTTTGGTGAATGGATACTCTAAAACATGTTTTCATGTGATGTACATCTTAAAATTCTCTCAGTATTTAAAAGTATATATACAAATATGTTATTGCACAGTGGGGAAAAAAAGGGGTACAGTTTATATTTAAAAATCTTGGTTTTCCTTTTTCTTTTTGGTTTTTCAAAACAGAGAATGTCTGGAATGATCTCAAAATTTATTTAAATCTAGACTGGATATTGCCTACGATTTGAAAATAAAATAAATTATAATGGGCTGCAGTTCATAATAATAAGAGTTGACAGTGTATCATGAAAAATTTATTCTAATCTGTTTAACTTTGGAGCTAATTATGTTTAGAAATGTGCAGAAAAGGAGAATACTCAATAAACATTTTAAAACATCCTGATAACGAAACAGGTGACGTCTTAAATGTTCATCTTTGTGGCACTGGGGTTAGATGAAGGGACTTGATATATCATACCAGGCCATGCAGGGTTTTTAAGTCTGATTTTGTTTTGCCAAGGTGAGTGCGGGTTAGATTTTTCTTTCCTGAATAGTACTGAATGTGCTGTTGTCTTATTGTCTTTGATAGCCAAAAATCTCAAATGTGCACAGATGAAGCACTTGGGGACATAGTTTAGTGGTGAACTTGGCAGTGCTAGGTTAGTGTTCTTAATGATCTTAAAGGTCTTTTCCAACCAAAATGATTATATGATTCTTTGAAAGGAGAGAAAGATAAGTTCTGTCTTTTCATGTGTTCTGTTTACTCTATGAGAAAGCCTAAATCAAAACTATACTCCAGAGTAGTACCCATTTATGTGATTATTGTGCTTTAACGTGTTCTGTAATTTAATCTGAAACTGACTGAATAAATACTTTTTAAAAAAAATTCTCATCTGTACAGCTGTAGTGTAGGTGACAAAAATACAGTTTTATAATTTTTAGTTACAGTTATTTTACAAACTCATTTTTCCTTGACCACCTTCTTCTGCAGTAAGGTACTGTTTTCATTGACTACCCATTATTTCAAAGTTGAGGATGGAGGTGAAAGATCAGTCTGTGTCACATTTGGTTTTTTCTTCTTTGTGAAAGCAATGGCTATTCTCATTGTGACAGAAAACTATCTAGAGTTTGGACTGGAATCAGGTAACTCCTTTCTTTAGTGTTTGAAACAGTGGTAGTGATTGCATGATCTGAAAAAATTATTTCCAGCTTCTCTGAGAATATACATGTTAAAATTAACTGTGTATGTCATACACAATTTTGCTTTGGAATGCAGATTCTTAACAATATCCTGGGTTTTTTTTTGTGTGGGGTTGTTATGGGGTTGTTTTGGTTTGGTTTGTTGTGTGGGGTTTTTTTGTGTGTGTGGGGTTTTTGGGGTTTTTTTTTCTTTGCTTTCTTTTAAATAGTTTAATCTTTGCCTAGGTTGTTTGTTTGTTAATCATATTTGCCTTCCAGGTTTAGATTTAACCCTTTTTCACTTCCATAGTAAAGTGAAGTTCCTTTACTGGAGTAGAAAAATTATCTTTTTTCATCTTCCTGAAGTGTACAAATATTAGGGATATAAATAATGGACTTTTATTGTATTATGGCTAACTAATTAGCACATGAAAGAGCTTTGATAGACATATGAAAAATTGTTTAGAGGATGAACTGTTACCTAGCATTTTGTTTCAAGACAGGGATTCTGCATTTGTACTGTAATAAAATAATTATAATATGTGTCTCTGCAGGATTCTCAAATTTCTCAGAAAGTGCTATGCAGTTTCTTGAAAAACAAGGTTTGGAATCCCAGTAAGTTGCTGGAAATACATTTACCTGGTTTATATGTGCATTTATAACTTGGATTTTCTTAGCAAGTGTTTGTCTTGCATGTTTTGCTGTTGTACATGGTTATAATTTCTACAATAATGTGAAGAGGTGGGTTAATGAAAATAATCCATCACTATCCTCTATTAAATGAAGTTGCATTAGTGTTTTCTTTTTAATTTGGAGATAGTTTCTATCCTGACATTTTGATTGTAGTTTCTATCCTGACATTTTGATTGTAGTTCATAAAATACAGTTCAAAATTGTAAACACTTTCTAATGGTACTTCTCTTCAGATTTGCAAGTATTGTTTAAAACAGGTGATGGGTATTTTTTCCTATTCCTGTAGCAAGCAAGAGGATGAGTGTGCAAAAGCTACAGATGAAGTTTGTGTTTAAGTTGACATTAAGAGCAAATTTTGGTATTCAGTACTGTTTTCAGATTGTAATAGTGTGTTCCCGACATGCAAAAACATCCGCTTGCTACAGGACATCCAAGTTTTGTATGGACAGTTGGAGGAACATGCCATAGCTTGTAATGTGACATAAATATAAATTCACATTATAGACAGCTTTTGTGTATTGCAAAATGGATTTCTGTTACAGTTCTTCTTTTACATACTCTAAAATGCATTTATGGGGCATTTCATCACTGGGAGTGCAGCTTTGTATTTTTTGCTTGGTAGATCTGAAGTATCATGGAGAAGTCATGGGATATCTTTATTTTTGAGGAACAGAAGTTTCCTCAAACTAGATTGCTGTCATTTATTAATAAACTCATGGGAAATCCATAACTGAATCCCTTGTGTTTCTTAGCCTTTCTTTACTCTGCTTTTCTAAGGTAATGGAAGTTCACAAACTTCTGTATTAATTTTCCTGTTAAGTGTTTGTTTAGTTTTAAACTTTTGCAGTGCTTTGGCTGCAATTGAGTTGGTGGCTCTCGATAGTTTAGATGACATAGATTAAGAAAGAATCTGAAACTCATGTTGGTCACTAGATTTTCTTTTCTTCCTCTTTAATCTGTTGGTTACATGTCCCTTGTAGTTTTTTTGTTGTTTGTTTGGGGCTGTTTGGTTTGGGGTTTTTTTGTGTAATCAGTGTTTGTTAATTCTGTAATAAATTCTGTAATTTGGTTGATCCTGGACATTTTTTTCTGTAATTTTTATATGCTATATTAATCACTTAGAAGAGACATGTTAATAGCCACAGGTATGCTTCAGAAAAATGTGTGAAAAGCTGCAGTAATAACAGTTTCATAGAGCTTTTTAGTGGATAATGGTGGAATGGAGTTTCCATTTAAACCAGTTAAACTTAGGATGCATCTGTTCTGCTCTTAAAAACACAGTCCTTAATTTCATTTTATTAGCTGTTTCTGTTCTATAATTGGTTGTTACTTACAATATAAAATTCTTTTTTTTCTTCTTTGCTAACAAATTAACACCTTACAGACAGTAGCTTAGGTTTTCTGTTTGACTAGGAAATAAATGACTTTATTGTTTTGTGTTTTTAATTTTGATTTCTGATTGGTTTGTAATAATGCTGGTATTTCAGAGTAAAACTATAGAATACTGTCAGCTTTTTAATTAAATGTTAGATATTGTTGAGTTGAAAGTAGTATCTGATACCCTCCACGCCTCCCAACTTCCTTCCCAAGAAAATGCTTATTTCCTTTCTTTTCTTTTAGGGGTCCTGTGTCTAAACTAACCTTCAAATTGTTCCTGGCTGTTCTGTGTTCACTTATTGGTGCTTTTTTGACATTCCCTGGCTTGCGACTGGCTCAAATGCATCTGGATGCTCTGAATTTAGCAACAGAAAAAATAACACAGTAAGAGAAAATACATGCAAATAGGTATATGCTACTCTGTCTTAAATCTTTTATGTCTGAAAATAAACAAAGTGGACTATTCCAGCAAGAAGGTAGTGACTAAGACTTCTGTTGCTGCCTGCTTTTCATAAATTGAGCAGACTCACCACCTGCCTCTTTCTGCTCAACCTGTGCTCTGCAAGTCTGTTACATTCTTTGCCTTGTAATTTGAGTCCCAGTTAAAGGAGCTTTCCTTTTCTCCTGCAAGAGCTCCACCATGAATGTTTCTGCTTACTGCTTTCTTTCCCCCATCATATCTTTCTGGAAGTTAAGATAACCTTCAAGAAGTAGAGGTACAAATACAGACTTTTTCTTTTCCACCCCCACCTCCAGATGGGCATTATGCCTTTAGCTAGTTCAGTGTAGGATGCAATGCAAAAATGAGCCAGAATATTCATTAAAGATCAGATGTTAATACTAGTTTGAAGGAATATTTTCATTTTCAGCCATTCTTGAATTTGGTAGTAAAATGTTTTCTCTAATTTAACTGTTTCTCTTCAACATTCTCTGAGGATGAAACTCCAAATGTCTTTCACAGATCTCGACCGTTAATGTTTTATACATGATAATGTCAGATTCTGCAGCATAGGCCATTATGAGTACTTTGTGTGGTCAGTTTAGCTAAATAAACTGCTTAGTTTTTAATTTGTGTGGTTCTCAATATTGTAAAATTTCTTTTGCCTTTTCTGTAAGTATCCTTCAGTTTTTCAGGATCTTCCTTAGTCTGTGGACATGACATCCTAGGCAGAAATGTAAACACTTTGCAACATTACTCCAGAACTAAAAGGATAATTAATAGACACTGCAGTATGGTTATAAGAAATAAAACTTCTCTAAATTCATGTTTAGAGGATATTAGAACTGGTTCTTGAAGATAACTTCATGCAACACCAAGCAAATTATTATTAAAAGTCTACCAGTACTTGGACTGTTATCTGGAACAATATAAAATTACGTTAAATGGGTTAAAATGTGGTCAGATATCAATATAATTAAGTAATGCAACTATAAACAATCATTGTTAAATGATAGGCTCTAATAGGCCTGAAGAGACCATTACTACCCTTACTGATGAGTTTTTATCAATGAGTAGATCATTTATTTACTGCAGCTTGACAGTAATTAAAGGGGTGTAGTAAATGAGGATGACATGTCTGTGATAAAATGCTCTCTAATTTGGATGCAGGAAAACTTTGTCTATCTCTGCAGTCAGATACAGAGTTAATTAAAATAACAAATCCCACAAAACCAAAACCAGTAAAAAACACCCCAGAAATACTAAAACAACTCCCACCACCAAGAAACACAACCCAAAGAACAAACCTGAGCCAAACAAAAGCCCCCAAGTCCCAGAGCTTCCTCAAAAGACCCCTCCAGCTCTTAATCTATCCCAAAACCCAACAAGAAACCCCAAACTGAGAAACATAAACATAAAATCCTATTGCTTTACTGAATGGTACACTTAACTTTCAGGCAATACTGGCTGAGAAAACCCCAAAACATGTAGGTTAATGAGTAAGTACTACTTTGCTAGTAGGTTCAAAATTATTAATGTGGTTCTTTTATGTGTATGAGGAATAAATTCATTGTTTCGGGGTAAACAGAATAAAAAAATCATCTGGCATCTCTTTGGGTTTTGGTAGCTGGTTTTATTTTTTTTCCTTTAGCAGCAGTGGACTCCAGATAGATTTGGAGTCTTGTTATCCACTTTGTATCATTTTCATACACATTCCCTCCTTTACCAGAGCCTGCTTTAAGAGTCTTTCAGCCTTTCTGCCTGAACTCTAAAGAACAAGAAAGAGATTCTAACCAATGTTTGGCACATTTCAGTTCACTAGCTCAGTTGGATCTCTTAAATATGTAGAAGTTGAGGTAAAATGCTTTCACAATTTAGCAGAATGCTTTGGCCTATTCTTTGATGCCCTCATGTTCCCTAGCAGCACCAAGTAATTAGCAGGGCTTATTTCTTCATCTGAAATCAGTAATTTAAAAGTGTGTTATGACATCTTTTGAAACATGCAAACATTTCAGTGGTTTTAGGTAGCTTGATAGCTTGTAATCAATGAAGTCTTGTGTTCTTTAGAACAGCTTTTCATTACATCATTTCCTTTACAGTGTTGAAGCACTGTGGTGGAGGTGGAAGTATAGATAACCTGATGCTGTTAGCATTGCACTAACAAACCCACCACACCTAACTGATTTTGTTTCATTTTAGTAATGAAAAATGATCGGGATGTGGGATTTAGAAATTAAGAAGGATATTAATTTCAGGGAAGACTCCTGAAAACTATTGCCTTTTCAAATTCTGCTGCTTTGTACTCATAGATTACAAAAGAGTACTACTGTAACTGTGCTTTTACTATGCTTTTAAAAGGGAAAAGCTGTGCTGGCTTTTTGGGGCTTTTTTTTTTTTTTTGGTCTGAAGTGTCTTAATTGAGTATAAACAAATTTCGTTTACTCAGGGTTCCTAAATAAAAACCTTCATTAAACTAAAAAATCTGGCCTCTGAAAACTTTCTCCTGGTATGTATAGACAGTGGAAATTTAATCTGAGTACATTTTTAAGAAAGAAAAAATACCTGTAATACAGGAGCATATTCCCCATAATTATCTGAGATGCTGACTTTCTAAATTAAAACTGTAATAGCTAGTGCAGTTTGGACATAGGAAAATTTTCAGCAACTATCTTTTACTATAGTGTGGTGTAATGCAGGTGATTCCTATGGTTAGATTCTTTGCAATAGATATTCTAAGGGCACTTTTTAAAAACCAAATCCTATGTGATTTCAAGATATGTAGTAACTGTTCTGTTAAAATGCAAATCCTACCTATAAAATTGGGAAGTCATATTCTTATTTATCTTTCAACTATTTTAAAATTAAGATTTCTCCTTTTGAATTTGTACACCCTGTTTCAACAGTATAGTGATTGTTTTAGTTTAATAACTTTCCCCTTTTTTTTCTTCTTTCAGAACACTGCTACATATAAACTTCTTGGCACCTTTGTTTATGGTTCTGTTGTGGGTAAAACCGATCACTAAGGACTACATTATGAACCCACCTTTGGGCAAAGAGAGCATTCCTTTGTAAGATTCTCTGAAATTTCTTTCTGGGGTATTGAGAACAAAACCGTGTTTAAGTAGCGCTCTTTGACATCATAGAAGCATGAAAGAGTTAAACTTGAGTATCATCTGCTGTCAGAGGTATTGTGGAAGGTGCAGCTGAGTTCTGAAGAGCTTCTGTTATTTCAGAAGAATGAGAATTAGTTGCAGAATGTTGAATGTTAAGGTCGTGGTTCCCAAAAAGCTGCTGTCTTCTGACATCTTGGCAGTGATGAGTTGTTCTTCATAAGGGTGGAATACGACCTCACTGCTGCCATGTGGAACCTTGTAGCTTACATAGTGGTGTAGGAGAGGAGTGGTTTCGCTGATGGCAGTTGAGATACATTATCCTGAGAACTGAGTTAGGCAGTTTGTCTTAAATCTACATGTAGATCAATTACACATGGAATTGATAGCTAGAGTATTTAAAACATAAACAGGGAAGAACTTTCAAGAAGAGTGGTATCTGAAATTAGTACTGCATAAGTAGCATAGGTGATTGTCATTGTCATGATAAGTCTAGATAATTCAGAGCGGTAGTATTCAAATAGACTTGAAACAGATACAATCAGCTGACACATTTCTTGCTTGCAGGGACTGAGATATGCTTCTAAGGTGATTCTGTGAACACTGCAGATATACATATTTTGTGCATTTCTTTTGTTCCTCAGTTTACCTTTAAATGAGGATTGAACTATAAGTGGGTATCTTTGGCAATTGAGGTACACGTTTACTGTGTAGTAACGTGTGTCTGAATATCTGCAGTTATCTGAGTGAGTTTGGTTTTTAGTGTCCTGCCTTCATTACTCAGAATTTAAGCTTTTAAGAACTGTTCTTGTTTACAGACAAATGAATGCTACATCTAATTACAATCTGGTACTATATCTAATGCTGTAATAGGGCTACTAAAAAGTAGCAGGAGAGAGAAGCAGTAGGCAAAAGTGAATATTACTTGCAAGTGAACTTGATAACTGTAGATTGTGCATTAACTATTTTTGACCTTGTGCCTCAAGATTTCCTTATAGATGATGCAAACAAATAACTGTAGCAGTATGTGGCCTTGGGAAAACAGGAAACCAGGTAAACCCTTTGGTTTTTTTCCACAGGATGTCAGAAGATACGTTTGACACTGTCAGGTTGTGGATTATAATCCTGTTATGTGCTTTACGGTTGGCTATGATGCGTCATCACTTACAGGCCTATCTGAATTTAGCCCAGAAAAGTGTAGATCAGATGAAAAAGGAAGCTGGCAGAATAAGTATGGTTGACTTACAGAAAATGGTAAGTATGATGGCACTGAGGTTATGTGTTTGGAGCACTTTGACTGTACAAATGCTTCTTTCTCAGTTTATGTCTTCTGTGAAATCCAAATGAAGCTTCGTAGACTTTATCTCCTATAAAAATAGCACCATTACAGAGAAATTCTGCAAACCAAAATACGGAGTGATGCAGATTGCTTATCCTAGGCTATTCAGAAGTTTTTATAAAAGATCCCTTCATTAATTATTTTTTAGAAATATGTACAAATAGGTCTTTCTGTTCAGATGAGTGGTGTTACTGACCAACTGCTAATGGAAGATCATCTTGTCATTGTTTTTAAAATACTGGTGTTTCACAGTTGGAAGTCTTAAAAATACCTTGCTTTTGGAAAGGGACTGCAATATTAGCCAAACTTTTATTTACTTTTTCTGAGGCCTTGGACTGTGACTACTGCTTCCGTTTTGAAATGGAGTTTAGTTTGCAAATCACTGGAAACTTTAAAAATTAAACATACATATTTAGCTTTGTTTCTGGTATATTGGAACAGGAATCTTTGAATGATGACATGCAGTTTGCAGAAGGAAAATTGATTCTGTTTGTCTTAACAGAACTGGTACTTTTAATTATATCCTGTCAGCACTTCCTGTCAGATTTGTAAATGTCCTCAGATTTGAAGACAGTGTGTCACAAGTTAAGAGGGCATAGAAAAGTCTTAAACCAGCTTTAATGCATAAGTACTGTAAACAAATCTCTTGTCTTTGCTAGACATGTTCATAAAGGTTTGCTTTGATCAGCCATAACTCATTAATTACTCTCTTCTGTTTTCCCAGGTGGCTCGAGTGTTCTATTATCTCTGTGTAATTGCACTACAATATGTTGCACCATTGGTAATGCTCCTTCACACAACTCTGCTCTTGAAAACACTAGGTAGGCAAAATTGGGTGTGGCTTTTAAGCAGATTTTTTCTGTTGCTGCTTTTGATATTTTTAATTATATGCCAATTTGTTTATTTTTGAGAAATTGTGTAATACAATTAATTAAGCTGTTTAATTCTGTTGAAATATTTGCTTATTAAGAAGTATTTTAAAAGTGAGCTGTGTAAAGCATTGTTGATTTAACGTTATGAGCATCTCTTAAAGAGGTTTTTTTCAGCTTTTTTTTTTTTTTAGTTTTAGTAGGGTTTTTGAATGGGAATTGTGAGATATGGTGTTCATTTAATAACTGGGAGATGTAGACATCTACATTTGGTAGGATGAATCATACTCAGCACTGACAGTGGTCCCAAGGCAGCTATGTCGCATATAGATGTTAGGGATGTCAAAATGTGAGGTGAATCTTAGCCCAGTAGCTTACTGGTATGATCAGGAAGCCATGCAGATGAATACAGTTAGCGTTTACTAAGTTAGGAAAATTTAACATTTTTGTGCGTGTGTTAAAAGTATATCTCAAGATGATCTGTGGACTGATAAGAATAACAGAACTTGAATTTAATCCTACAAAAATCTGTTACATGTTTCTTTTTAACAGGTAATTATTCTTGGGGCATCTACCCAGAATTGAATTTTGATACTCCAGTAGAAAACAATTTGCTTCCGAGTTCCATTTATTCTGAGTCTCTACCTGCTGATGGAAAGATGAAAGTGACTGTAGTGCAAATAACAATGGCTTTGGGAAGCCTAAAGAATATTTTCACTCCTCTCCTGTTTCGGGGAGTCCTGTCTTTCCTCACCTGGTGGATTGCTGCTTGCCTTTTTTCTACAAGCCTTTTTGGGCTCTTCTATCACCAGTACCTGACTGTGGCGTGAACAGGTCAACTGACAAAGCAAGTGTGACGTCAAATGCTAGATACAAACCCAGATACCCAAGAGAGGATGAACAAAAAAGAAAACTATATCTGAAGAAAAAATATATCAGAATTATTTTTAAACACTTCCTCTGTGTTCTCAGGGTGAATAATCTTAAAATGTTTAAAATTGCAACTGGGTTTGTTACTTTTGCTACCCAAATGGTAGGTAACTAATTGTAGTATTGGGGCTGACTGACATTATTGCACGGTAAGTGGTGGTAAACATGCTGAAAAAAGTGCAACCTCTGAGTATCTTGGTTTCCATAAACAGCAAGCCAACCTCAAAACTTTGTGTATCAACAGTCAGTGACTGAACTGTGTTGGAAGGGTACTGGTTATACTGATGGTGGCTGCCTATCAATTAAGTCTTGAAACTGAGCCATACAATGAAAGGAGACAGAGGGGATTTAAAAAAAATTCTGTTGGATAGCTATCAATCACTTTTCTCCATGAAAAATGAAATAATCCAACAGGGCGAGAGAGATACTGTATATTACAGTAAGGAAAGCTGTATAAAATTTAAATTTAACAGGAATAGATATATGTATCTGA